CCCCGTGGGTGGGACTAACTGATGAACGATACAGTCGACTGTTCACCCACAAACATTTAGACTGTCACAGGTGATGTGAGCTGTCGGGGACAACGATGCATACAGTATCAAATCATACTACTGAACGAAATATAGGAATTTACAACCACAAAGCATTATGTGAATAGCCCTTAACGCAAAGCAGAGAAATGACTCTACCCTGGCACCGATTGAACATGGACAGCGGGGGCGGCCATCAAAACAACCCAGAGTTACAACCAGAAAGATACTGGTGTTATCCTGAAAGGACCCTGACAACACCCGAGCTGTTACATTACAACACAATGCACAGTCCCTGTGTTAGGTCTACCTGGAAAGACCACTCCCTCATAGCATCATATATAACGTATCCTATCGTCCATTTCAAAATGTTTTATGTAGAATATATTTCAGCAACACGGATGGGCCTGTCTTGAGGTTTTGATTACTACGGGGTACTATTGGTTTCATCTCCGTACAAGAAATATATCATCGGCCTCTTTTGATATTCGCAGTTTATCATAACTACAGACGCTCAACTTAAATAGGTGACAAATGTAATATCAAACAGATGACCTGACATTAGGTCTTTGGGGTCAGTTAGTTAATTCCGGAAGGTTAAACCCACCATGGACTCAAACATTTCTCTAACGAGACAATCTAAATGAATGAGCTGTCCAACTACAGGCGAGACTGTCCATCAGTCTTCATTCACTCGGAAGGCTGATTCAATACATTCAACTCTCGCATTTAGACTAGTGGCGACAGTCAGGACAAGCAAGCGCCCACTCAAACAGAAAACATGCTAAACCTGTTCCGTATTAATACACAACCTTGTATGACACCCTGTAGAAGCGTGTTTACATCTGTGTACATGCCCACATACCAACAACATCTGTATTGATTGGGGATGAATAATATATGGGAAGATGGTTCGAACTAATTTTATTAAAATGTCACATTAAAATGATAATCCACATGAGTGATTTTGGGTTGGTTTTAATATTTGATAAATGATAACGTTATCATGATACGTAGATTGTTCCAGTCGGATAACTTAGATTTTTCTTCTCATCATTAATGGATGTACAGGTGGTTCGGTGACCTGACACAGCTTCTGCCTCAATTGTACAACGCTTGTACGAGTGAGTGATTTTAGTTTAACGCCGCTTTTAGCAATATTCCAGCAATATCACGGCGGGGGACACCCAAAATGGGCTTCACACATTGTACCCGTATGGGGAATCGAACCTGGGTCTTCGGCGTGACGAGCGGCCGCTTTAACCATTTGGTTACCCCACCGCCCCAACGCTTGTCAGAACAGTGCACGCTGTATGTATCAATCAAATAGTCTTGCTCCGATGCTGTCCTGAACGATGAACCCATGATGCTGTCCTGAACGATGAACCCATGATGCTGTCCTGAACGATGAACCCATGATGCTGTCCTGAACGATGAAGCCATGGATGTAAAGTATTCCCATAATATTACTCAAGTCTAAATACCGGGAAATCCGTCTCTTACAGGGACACAATATTCTTATTAATTATGAAATCTAGAAATTATGATTTAAACTAATAATTATATTGCCATAGGGACTTGTGCAAGTCTATCAAAAAACGAATGATACCACTTACTGAGTTGAAATAGGCACCAGACTACGTTATGATGGAGTACGCTACGAGGGGATTTCAAAAAGTTCTAATTATCGCCATGAATTTATTGAGAAATTATGATGAAAATTTGAAGGTAACATCAGTAATCCTTATCTAGTTAATGGAACAAAGCTATTAATATCACTCCATTCAATCTTGTGTTTGTTCATCCAAATCATGAGTAACCCCATGTATGGAGAAAATAGAGGCACACAGGATTTTCAAGTTTTTTCACTTGAAGGGTTGCACTGCCAGACACATTCACGAGGAGATGAAATCTGTTTATGGTGAAGATAGTCCATCTTATACTGTTGTGCGATGGAAAAGGCATTTTCAAACCGGTCATATGTCCCTCACAGTTGAGCCAAGATGTGGACATCCGTTTTAACGATACCAAAGAGGTCATTGAAGAGGTGGAGGGTTGGTTTTCCATGAAATCAGGGGGTCTATTCAAGCGTCTGCAGAAGGTCAAGAAATGTCGGGAGAAATGTGTCACTCTGGATGGTTACTATGTAGAGAAGTCTTAAGGACAAGAAATCAAAATAAAGTTTCTACCCTGAATACGTCTTGGTGATAATTAGAAATTGTTTATACCCCCACGTATATACACTGTTGTCGGGGGTAAGCATCTGATGTTGATGTGGTAGGAACAGTACTGGTAGCTGCAGATCGGCACTGTCTGCTTCAACTGACGTCCATTACTCACTCACGGTGCAGCTTGTAAAGCGGTTTAAACAAGGTTAAGCGATCAGGATGTTTCCAACATGGATATACTTGATGAGCTCTTTGCATAACGATTTAGAAATTACTTGCTTGTATTTTTTTTAAAATCATGATTAAAGATCATCCATATATCAGGAATGGACTTCGAGATATGTCTTAGTTCGAAATAATTCTATTGAATATGCAATTTATTTTCATATTTATTCATTATATGTGGTGGAAAAGTAAGACAAAGCATAACTACACAATGCACAGACAAATGATGTAATTTGATGTTCAGTTATGTAGTAACAGTACATTGTGGGTTACTCGACAGTCCTCACTGGGTACAGCAGATACTATATAGTGTTAGTGCGCGCCACGGGGTACAGCCGGAGAGCTGACCCTAAAATAGTGGTTTTTTAGCACCCTAGTTTTTGTCATTTTATATTTTACCCATTTTACTCTGTATATATATATTAATTTCCTTAAAGCACATTTTAAACTTTGTATGGCATACTAGTATTTTACCAGCATTTACATGTATATATGTGATTTATGAATTTTGTATCTTATTTGCTACTGTGATATATTTAATAGCACTTGTGATTAATTATATATTTTTACAGTCTCTCATAACTCTTAGATAGAGTGGCTTGTTACATTTTATCTGTTTTATGTATAGTTTAGAATTTTAATGTCTATTGTAACAAGGTGAGACTTTAATAAACAATCAGTCTGTCTGTTTGTCTGTCTGTCTGTCTGTCTGTCCGTCTGTCCGTCTGTCCGTCTGTCTGTCTGTCTGTGACAGTACCACCGGGAGATGTGCAGCAATGATGAGACTATGCAGAGAATGTGCGACTTCAACAGATCCCCGAGTCATCACATTGTTGGACTGCCACAGCACCACACCTGTGTCCTGGGAGTGTTACATTGCAACCTGCACATGTTGTCTGTAACCTGTAACATCGATATGTTACATTGTACATACAAACCCCGCCATCTTGGCGTGCATGACAGGTAGGCGGTCGTGACATGTGTCACAGTGACAATCACCGAGGTCGTCCGGGATAGTGAAGAGCCGGACTAACGGAGATCCACAGATTATATGCACTAAAACGTACACATTTTATGTAGATAAACGGGTAACATATCCACGCTACCTGTGTTATTGGCGGACAACATATGAAGATAATGAAGCGATCAATATCACACAGCTAGCTCTCACAGACAATATTGTCCATGTACAAAACTACTAGTATATGTTCAAAGTAGCTGCTAAACACATGAAAGTGACATGATTCATAAAGACATATGCACCGCAATATTCGCTCCAAGACCGGAGCAGGACACTCACAGCTTCAGTAATTATCGCCAATACAAATTCCCTTATAATTTCCGGTGAAAATAACCATGGATCTCTCCGTGGGCGGACATGAGATATGGCAATTCGTATTATCAGAAACGGGTCTCTATCAGACAAAACCTCGGACACAGATTTTGTTTTTATAATTGTTATTTCCACTAAATACTAACTGAAGTCATTCAACAGAACTGACTTTTTAATACACTACTGCAGGCTCTCAACGTAAACCCCATTCAAAACATGTCACCACTGGCGTTGTTATGATATTATCGATACTTCACATGCTGGACTATTTAAATACAACATGTTTTCTTGACGTTTAAGTGCATTCTTTGAAGAATGCCAGAAAACAAAAGAACAATGCTTACGTTTAATCTTTGAAAAATATGTGTAAAGTGGTTTTCTGTTGAGATATTGTTACCAGGAGAGAAGCAGCCGGAACTCAAGGTCGAGAAAAGGCGTTTTTCAGTCACAGTTTGCACAGTATTAAGAACATGTATGTATATTAGGAGAAAATACATTTTTTAATTGTTTAGAAGAGGGGGAATACTTTGAGGCCAGTTTCTGGTGCTGTCGTTTGAAAAACTCTAAATTATGATTGATTCGGTTGATGCACGGAGCAGTCAACCAGTTCACCACGTTAACTTACAGTTCGAAGAGTCAACCAGTTCACCACGTTAACTAACAGTTCGAAGAAAACACAACAGAGCGGGTCAATATATTCTCTAGCAAATCGACTTTCGGAACAGTTTTGTTCAATAAAACTTACTTCCCAATGTAGCCGACAGCGAGCACGGTGCTGTGGCCAACCTGTGCGTCATACCTGTTTTAGTTTAGAACGCGGATGTTGTTGGAAAATAACATTTCTTTCAAACGAGCGTCTTTGGCAGACGTGGAAACAGTTTGAGGTTTTCATATTGCCTCGACATGCCACAAATCCAGTTGTTCTCATAAAGAATTAGCGAACCAGGTAAATAATTGACTGCATACCATTCGACGTCTGGGTGTATAGGAAAAGAGTGTCTGAACTGTCATTGTGAACGGAACTGTCATTGTGAACGGATTGCATGTCTTGTTGATTGATGTGAGTGAGTGAGTGAGTGTGTGTGTGTGTACGTGTGTGTGTGTGTGTGTGTGTGTGTGTGTGTGTGTGTGTGTGTGTGTGTGTGTGTGTGTGTGTGTGTGTGTGTGTGTGTGTGTGTGTGTGTGTGTGTACGTGTGTGTCTGTATCTCTGTGTCTGTGTTTGTGTTCCACCTACCTTGGAATGTGTGAAGTAGCCGAGCACGGTGTTAGCAAGGCCCTGGGAGATTGAACGAATGAAGTTCTCCACCCCTCCCAGGCCCATCCTCTCCACCCACATCGACATCGTCCCGGGGGGTCCCCTTGCTTGCTGTCACAAAACTTGAAGGTATCCCGTTAATCCATCGAAAACACGTCTAATGTAGGCCATGCTTGTCGTCTGCGTGTTAGCAAGTGATATAAATAGGAGCGTGTTCGTTCAGTACACCTTCAAACATGAGTATTCCCGACCCGGAACTGTACCTGATCCTGGGCTAGTTTCTAATGTTGACACTACACTGCTAAACTATGCAAAACAATGTCACTGTACTGTTAATCCGAATGATCGAGTAAAACTGACAACCGCTCCTCAGCACCAGGTCCGTGTCCCTCAACACAACACTCTCAAGACCGGACTGAGACTGGACTGTAAACTTTCATCCTATCGTCACTACTTGTATTACACCCTTCCTTCTTTAACCTAGCTGAACACTTCAATGAAACTCCGAAAACAGCGCTTCTGTTCGCTGCATATCGTCTGCTCGTGTGTCAGTCCACCTCTTTAGTCCACAACACACTCCATAACCGAGAAGTCTCGAAATATTCCCTTGAGGCAGAATGATCGTCTGTTGCGCAGTGTGTCGTCTGCTCGTACTGACGTACCTTGCCTGTCTTCTCACTCGCAGTATGTACACCTCTCTGCACTGCTGCTCACTGAATTCACTGAGGGGTGATTTGTTTTACTACTATCAGTCTCACTTCATCGCTAGCACGCTTATCTCGAGACGTACATGTCGATGCTCATGGAGGGGCTGTTCCACCTCTCCAAAAGGATCTGGATGACAGCGCACATTTTATGTTAAGTGAAGCGTTGCAAATGGAATAAAACCTTTCAAAACTATCATCTTCATACTTCCCCCTTTCCCCCGGCCAACACTGACATAACAAGCTCACCCTGCAGTAGGATCGATTATCTGTCTGTCACGTGACACTCCTTCGACTGCTCCTGGCAACATATGGCCGATACGAAAGTATGTGATGTTATAAATATTCATTTGTATGCAGTAGTGACAGTTACATTTTCTTCTTACGTGGATACAACAAGGATAAGAACAAACACTACAGTTATTCTCAAGTGTCAACTGCAGACAAGTACACATTGTTGTATTGCCCCCGCGATATGTGTAGTATCTGTAATGTTTATTTTAGGAGACATCATTTCTTATTCGTGTTTATTAAAGTTACCATCTTGATACATTTACAACATACACATCAAGTATGCATTTTCCCGCTGCCTTAAGATAATAGAAAAACAACTCGCAATGTTTAGTTTGGGATTTGTACATTAGTTCGTGACGAAACATCTGGCAGACGACTTCTGGCGTATTGGCAGACGACATACACAACATGCGCGTCTCGTATTACATTAGCCCATATCCGTCAGGACATGCATTTTGTGCTCAGCTGCAAAGCTGTTAGCAGAACCATTGGATGACACGACACAAGCATATGTATTGAAGTAAACACAATTTACATATGTATTTTCATGTAAAGAAGTAAGTATGTACAATGACACTCAATTCTGTAAATGAAACTATATAGAGATGGACAGTAAGATGAACTGTGAGTAAGATGGTAAGTAAGTCTTGTACGTCAAATCTACTTGCCGACTGATGTATCGAATATTCCCAACAATCTTGACATTCTCCGGCTTTGTCGGGGGTAATCAGATAATATAATATACACTTGAAATCATGTTGTCTATCAAGGACAGATAAAATCATCCCTGTCAAAGTGGAGTGGACGCCAGTATTAAAGAAAAAATTGTAATCTGTCTCATGCAGATAACAAAGACCGTTATACTGTGCTCATCTTGTATACTTGTTACACTGCTCAGCCTGACGACGAGCTTGTCCCAGAAGTACGTGTGTAACACCCTCCCCTCCCCGTACCTCGACACTTCTGACGTACTGATCGTTGATCATGCAATGTTCTCCCTGTCTGTCTGGTCAGTAGTCTATTATTACAATCCCACCAGAATGTAGTAAGAATGTTGCAGACTGTATCGTCCTCTCCTTCAGCCGACATATCTCATGCTTGTTGTAAGAATGCAATGGGGATCTAATGAACACAATGACTACTGAATAATGACAGACCATGATCTCAGCAGGCCGACATTTATGATTCTATATATATGTTATTCCCAATCCGAACGGATCGTAAGACACCCTATTACTGTACGCGTGTGCTCTGGTGTGATGCTCAAGTATGATGCTCTGGTGTGATGCTCTGATATTACAGTGTGATGCTCTGGTATGGCACTGTGATGCTCTGGTGTGATGCTCTGATATTACAGTGTGATGCTCTGGTGTGATGCTCTGGTGAGATGCTCTGGTGTGATGCTCTGGTACGGCACCGTGATGCTCTGGTGTGATGCTCTGATATGACCGTGTGATGCTCCGTGTGATGCTCTGTGTGATGCTGTGATGCTCTGGTGATGTGATGCTCTGGTGTGATGCTCTGGTACGGCACAGTGTGATGCTCTGGTGTGATGCTCTGATATGACAGTGTGATGCTCTGGTGTGATGCTCTCTGGTATGGCACTGTGATGCTCTGGCACTGTGATGCTCTGATATGACAGTGTGATGCTCTGGGTGATGGCACTGTGATGCTCTGGTGTGATGCTGTGATGCTCTGATATGATGTGTGTATGACCGTGTGATGCTCTGGTGTGATGCTCTGGTATGGCACTGTGATGCTCTGGTGTGATGCTCTGGTACGGCACTGTGATGCTCTGGTGTGATGCTCTGATATGACAGTGTGATGCTCTGGTGTGATGCTCTGGTATGGCACTGTGATGCTCTGGTGTGATGCTCTGGTATGGCACTGTGATGCTCTGGTGTGATGCTTTGGTATTTCACTGTGGGAAAACGGTCCCTCCACAAACATGCCTGCAAACCTCTCATTTAAGGTCATGCACGTGCACCAGGCCCAGCCCAGCGCACAACTCCAGAAATAGATATCACTCAGAACGATAAGGCAGGTCGACTTCAGCGATGCTCTCGGTGTATATCTGTGCACTATGCAGAGACAAGCACGGTGAAACAATTACCTGGACTTTTTAAGTTTGTTAGAAATAATTCACAAATCTGTTTACTTCGACATAAACAAAAGGTTGACGTTGTCATGACAATGGCATTCTGGTATGACGGTGCCAAAGATTTACTGCAGCCAGACATGTTGTCTATACTATTCCATAATGAGACAGCATGTACACACATCTAGCTGTACTGTCTAAGCCTACTGGTCGCTGACCGACTGTATTCAGTGTGGTCGTGTTGTAAGAACAGTTCCAGAACTCACAAATCAACATGAAATGCACATGTTGTTTTCGGGTTTTTCTGGGTCATTATTCAGGAGGACATGGAAGGGGTCTAGGTTGACCACAGTGGCCGAACTGATCTACAACTGACCTTCTGACGCTGACATGTAAGTCAGACAAACCAAGCCGTCGGTTTGACACCGATAGTTACTGTTGTTTTGGATATTGTAAGCAATTGTACATGTGATGGAGGTGTGAAATGATGTGCAATCTTTCATTAATATACTTACAGTGCTAATTTAAATGTCAAATGGGCATTGTGAAAAACATACACTGTACATTCTATAAAGAAGTTGTTATCCATAACATTTGTCTTGTATTACATTCTGTAGACACACACAGGCACACAGGCACACAGACACACAGACACATCACATACACTCTCTCTCTCTCTCTCTCTCTCTCTCTCACACACACACAGTCATACTCAGTGCTGTCATCAATGTCAGTGATTCAGACCCATACACAGTTTGTGTTTCGACTTGACGAAGCTTCATCAACATTGTATTTCAACGACTCCCTTCTTATTTCCTTACCGTTGACGATGTTGACGACCTAATGTATATGCTTACTTTAGATCTTTAATGACAACCATTATTGGCATGAGTATATATGTCTAATTGAGATCGCATGATTCGTGAAACCATGTACAGATGTGATCTGATATTGGACACCTTGTTAATACCTATATAGTACATGTGTGCTATAATACTGTATATCTTCAGAAAATATCGCAAAGAGGTCGTACTTAGAGGACCCCTGGCGCTCCTTTCACGAGGCAACCTTTACTAAGGTTAACCCTAACTCCCATTCTTTAACATTGCACCCAAGTTACCTTAGTGACTAGCGATCACCTTAGTGCTTTGTGAAAGGAGGCTCATGTTTTTTTATGTTTGTTGGGTATCTACGAAAACCGTCGTCAGCTGTAGGTCCAGTATATGGTCATCTGTGCGAAGGAAATATTTGTTATGTTTGTTTGGTATCTACGAAAACCGTCGTCAGCTGTACGTCCAGTATATGGTCAGCTGTGCGAAGGAAATATTTATTTGTTGTTGTTTATTGCACTCAGAAATATTCCAGCTATGGCTGCGGTCTGTAAATAATCGAGGCTTGACTAGACAATCCAGTGATTGACATCATGATGACATGTGTCAATCAATTCAGTGAGCCTGACCACCCTATACCGTTAGTCGCCTGTTACGACGGTAGTCATGGGTTACAGGGGATCACCCCTCACCCGGACCTTCACGGGTCGCGAAGGAGCAGTCTGCTCGGCATTGTGTCGTAAACATATGCAGAACTTGTTTTCCCTAAAAGTGTTCAAATCTTGACTTCTGGTGGTATACCAGTCAATGTTGTGAATAATTATTTCAAAAGAAGCAAGCTGACTTTGTTAAATACAGTTAAATAATCACTTGCCACAGCTAGTATGTATACACAGAGAACTTAATTAAGCACCACCTGTATTTTTGCAATGATAAGTTAAAACTTTTCATGGTGACCACGATGGAAAAACATGAGTTTTTCTGACCCGTATGATCCTTTGACTGAAAAAAACAACAAAATGGCAGTTCAAGTATGTCCCTGGAATGTTTAATGTTGAATTTATTGGTGAATGTGAACATTCAAAATGCCATTTTGCGTGTCTTACACGATTCAAGGTCAATACTGAGTGTAACCTCCAGGTGACTGTAAGACAGCCAGGACACTCCTCCTCATACCCCCTATCAGCCTCCTAATCCTCTGAAGGGACAGTCCACGCCATTCATCGTGTAATGGGCCAGGTTCTGTACAGGAGGATCCATTTGTTGCACACGACGACCAATCATGTCCAAGATATGCGCCAGAGGGTTAAGATCGGGGCTCATTCAGTCGTGCAATATGTGACTAACTTAACTAAGTTCTTTGTGTATATATTCTCGTTGAAATTGGAAAATACACGGACATTCATAAATAATGTTGTGCCATACAGTTATATTTTACACCTTTCCATTTTGTGTTCTAAATTAATCCCAGTAAAGTATGTTTATTTTATACGTCCAAGAATGCCATGAGCAACAGTACTGTGAACAGTTTTACATTCAAATGATATTCAACTCAAAGAAACAATCTTTTGGATATGTTTCATATATAAATTAACTGTGTTAGATTAGATTTGAACATGTTTTACTTCAAAAAGTATGATTTTATATGCATTGGGAATATTTCGTTTACACAAACATTTAGGCAAGTTGATTTACAAGCATGAGTACAGTTGTGATGATACTATTTGTTCTTGAAAAGGTGAACGGGTGCTGTCCCACGTACCGAAATGCTGGCCAGTTGTTCACTGAAAACATATGGTACAAGCCAGAAAAAGAAAACACATAGGACATCCTTTTAGTGATAAATGCATCAAATTTGAAATGTTCTCCACGTGTCTACTGAGAAGCATTTTGAAAGCTCACTGTGGATTTTAATGATTTAATCCAAAATATACACATTTTGAGCCGTCTGACGTTCTTTGAAATCCTGTTCGTAATTGCATACTCTATTGTACCTGAAAGATGTAGGGAAGC